CAATGGACAACCTACCTCTCCTGACCATGACAATGGAGAACAGGCTCCTGCCTCTCCTGACCACGCCGCAGAAGTCAATTTGCAAGGAGAAGAACCAAATGCTTCACCCAATAAATGTAATGTGCAGTGTCCTCAAGCCTGAGAAACAAGAAGCAAGACCGTTGCTTTGGTGTCAAAAGTTTTCCTTCAGAGTTTGATATTTTAATGATGTCTTGTACCAATTTGTTATGGTCTCAAATCCACACTGCCTGAATGGTATTTTTTAACTTATGCCTTGAAATGTACACATGAAATGTTGTATCTGCTGGAGTTGTAGCTGAGACAAATCATTCTTAAATTAAATGCTTGGTTACAGTCCAGAATTGAATTACATATGGTATTTGCAAATGTTTTTATCTCTGATTATTATACCAGCCACTTTTTCAGTCTCTTATCTAGTTCTCGAATTCCAGTGTTGTGCTTTTTGCCTTGCCTTAGTGGTGAGATTTGGCTGTAAATTGGCAAATATGAATATATCCATGGTTCAACTTATAATATTTTGTCAGCATTTTGCTGAGAAAATGTATGCTTTGGAGGGGTGAAACAAGGGTCATCAATTTTGACCCATAAATATTCTGTTCAACTCGTCCAAATTTAAATAGGTTGAATGAGTTTTGTAATCATTTACATTTTACAAGGTGTAATCCAAAATGACCTATCCAAAAGGCTAGGTATATGAAAGAGAAAGAAGACAAACTGAAGAAAGACAAGGAAAAGAAAGAAAAAAGGAGACTGTATTTCTGGTAGCTAAAACGTTTGTCTGAAGATTTCTTCCAAAATAGGAACTTCAACGCCTTAAATTTCTCACACAAAGAAAGCAATGAAGGAAAGAAATTTTGTGTAGAATACGATTTAACCATGACAATGGCAACAAAGCAGAAGAAACTTTTAGTTTATATCTATACATCCTCAATTACTCCATTTCTCATCTTGTGTTATTTTCCAGAACACATGATTGATAAGATTCAGACACAAAACACAATCAAAACTCACCTTCTACAAACATCAGACAAAGAAGTTGCTTAAAGTCACGACGAAACTCAAGTCGTTTAGGTTCCATGACCACACCTCCAATGCATAAACATCTGAGAATTATAAATGTCAATTGTAAGGGAAACAAAAGCTTCCAACCTTCAAATGCCAAGGAAATTATTACTTTACTCCTGGATCTAGAGAGATAGTGATAAGTAGGAAAGAGAGGTTTCGGTAGAACTAAAACACCAAAAGAACTAATTAGGGAGGTGGATGGTTTAATTATTTATAAAGCGTTAAAAAATATAAAAGCTGTGCAGAAACAAAGATAGGTACCAAAGTGGAAAGGCTTTAGAAAGTTATTTAGATTTTAAAGAATACAATGTTGAAACCATCNTTGTGTTGTCAAGAACTTGTGTTCTTATTCACAAGTAATATCACCAGAGTGCAATTTCAGGTGCCTCATTTCATCTTGGAAAAAGCTTTTAAATGCCCTTTCTTATTGCCAGCTCCTAGCATTGCAGGTGATTTATTCATACCTCTGTGATGCCGTAGTAGTTGCCACCAATGGAATTTGTTATTCACCTTCGTATCGGTATGTTGTCCTTTATCTACTTGTCTACTGCTGTTGTGCTTTGTCTTCTTTGAATGCTGGATATGTCGCATCAGTCCCTGAGCAAGGGTCTGAAACTGTCCTCCCTGCTGCTTTTTACCAGCTTGTTTAGCGATTGCTGACTTCCCAAACTTTTCCAAAGCCTTTTCTCCAAATGTTTCATCCTTGCTTGTAGAATAGTGGCTATTGAACCTTTTTCCTCTCTGCCTCAACAAAGATGTTTTTCTCTCCTCCCCTTTACTATCCTTACCGTGATGGTGATGGTGGTGGTGATGATGATGGTGAAAAACTATCGCTAACTTGTCTTTCAACTTCTTCCACCTTCCACTAGTCTTCATTGATTTTCTTGAGTTAGTAGACCTGTAGACGCGCACAGGACTTGACTTCCTTGACGAAGAATCTGCTGAGTAGTAAGAGGGTTCTTCGAGATGGTCAGACCCTGAACCATCAAGTGATGATGAGGATATCTCTCTCTCACTTTTACTTGCAGAAATCATTTCACGAGCCCTTTCACTACCAATTGGAGACGAGTAACCCTCGGTCGAACTGCAGCTTGAGCTGACCGTGTACTCAGTTTGACTACTGTCTCTCCGACTATATAATTCATTTCCTTCATAGCTACTTGTTTCGTCTGAATAATGCATCTTGGTTCGAATCTGCCTTGGCAAGGGATGATCTCTCTCGCTACTGTAAGTGCTTGTCTGATGCAAATCTGTCCCGCTGGAAGAATATGGCGAGCTTGAGCGTGAAACCTCTGATTCATGTCCATGTAAATGCCTCCTCCTCAGTCGTTTCATGTGATTATTATTTTTCAGATGTTTACTAGGATTTTTGTCCAAGTCTACATAAGAGCTTTGGGATGGTGCAAATTGACCTTGCTTGTGATTCAATACTGATCGCCTCATTATTGCCTGCTGTAAATAAGGTGAATCCATTCTGCTCTCATATGTCCCCGGCCAAGTTAACTTGCTCCCGTAATCAATCAATCCTGGAGTATCTATGTTGTTTCTGAAAATATCTGCTGCATTTGATTTTCCTAGCCGACCTGTTTTCTCATTTGAAGGCATTTGTTTCTGGCTCGGGATGACCAACATTGCCGGCAAAGCAGTGACCCAATTTCCATATTCTGTTGGCCTTGTTGGGAACGATAATGGTCAGCATAAGGATATTGTACTGAAGTACCATTTTGATTCTTTGACTGAACATTAATTGAGTGTTCTTTCTGTATCTGCCACTGATTCTCTTCAACTAAGTCTAGCATTTTAGAAGTATCATGTTCCTCAGAAGGGAAGGTGTTTGCTACTATCTTTTGTTGTCTCAACTGATTTGGCTGGTAACTACTTGACTCGAGAAGCTTGGGCAATTGATCTGCTGGAAATTTTGACATTCTGGTAGGCGGAACAACATACCCTGAACACAATGAACTAGTGTCTCCTTCTATCTTCTTGATAGGAGTAGCTAACTCTGCTTGTGGCATGAAAACAGTTATCGGTTTGAATTTATGTTCAGTTGCATGTTTATCAGATAAGACCAGGTTCTCGTCATCCATTTGCAAAGCTGAAATGTGCGATTCGAGTTGTTTGATGACATCATTAGTTTCAGTCGAGAAGAGATCATGGTCCCCATCGGGTACACTTCTTACCACACCAGGTAACTCATGCATGGATTGTGAAACATCCACTGTTTTCGCCTTCGCACTTTCAGCGTTTCCTGATTGCAATGCTTCTTGTTGAGTATCCCAAGAAAAATTAGCGAAAAGACTATTCTGCTGTTCTTGCAACGCCACAACCTTTGTAGAATGTGGAGCTTCTTTTTCAGAAGATTCGATCTTTATACAAGGAATAAACGGCTTTTCAAATTTGGGGCGCTTGCAAATTCTGCAAAATTTCCTTTTATTTCCAGATTCACTTGCACTGAAGCTAAATTGTGGAGGCTGTGCGTAAGCTGTCTGAGTAATCGGCATGATACATTCCTGCTTCTCTTTTGGAAAAGTAGAATCCATGACAACCGGCTCTTCTCCACGACTTTGAATAACAGCTGAAGTTTTTGATAGGTCTGATAAAGCAAGGGACCGTTGCTTCGCTGTGTCAACCAAGTACAGAGGCTGAGGTAAGCTGTGCACACACGCCTGACGTGCTATGATCTGTACGCAGAGAAATTTTCCACCACTGATATTACTCAAAAAGGCCAATTCTTTTGCACAAAAAGATGAATGGATATTGTAAGTGTAAGGAGAACAAGTCAGGTACCTCGGAATGAGCCTTAAGAACATCATTGGTTGTAGTATCGAGTAAATTCTTTAACATGACTCGTGCTTCATAATCCAACTGTTTGATGAAAGAAAAATAAATACTGTCAGAAATAGGCCTTAAGAGTCTAGACTGTCATATATAAGATGAAAAATCTATTAATATGAGAAGCAATAGGGGACTAAAGGTATGCAGCAGACTTCAACTTATAAGTTTTCCTTAGTAATCAAAATGCTTATAGCTTTTAAGCTATCAGTTGAACAAACGATATTAATCAATGTCTTTTTTACGGACATAGGCATGCCATGACCGACCTCGTGCCATTGACATAGTCATGCCGCGGCCGACCTCGTGCCATTGACATAGGCATGCCGCGGCCGACCTCGTGCCATAGTGGCCTGCCACGGCCGACCTTGTGCCATTGACATAGGCATGCCCCAGCCGACCTCGTGCCATTGACATAGGCATGCCACGGCCGACCTCGGGCAATAGTGGCAATTCCATGAAGATAATTTTGCAGACAATTACCATCATGCTGTGTGAAAGTCACTTTCATGTGCAACTTATAATATTTAAAAACTAATAACAAATAATTAAATCCAAATCCAGATCTTACAAAGTAGGATCTCAAAGTTCTTTGATCAACTCAAAATGGGGCTGAGTTCCACCACATTTGAACCTTTCAACTACTCAACTTAGCAGAGTTCAAAGATGCATAACATTATAAGCCATTTTTCCTTTACATGCAATACAATATGTCCACTAAACAACAACTACTACGCCTCAGTCCCAAACAAAGTTGGGTTCGACAATATGAATCCTCACCATAAAACTCAACAAAGAGGAACTTACACCATCAGAGGTCAACTTTGAAAGACCATCTCTGTCATTTCTCAAAAGACCATACAATTGCCTCAAAGCAAGGAGGTTCGATTTTATATTATCGAGGTCCATCTCCTAGTTGACAAACAAGAAAAGTCAGTAGAAATCAGGCTGAGGGAACAAAAAACTACGCATGTATATTGTAAGGGCGGCCCGGTGCACTAAGCTCTCGCTAAGCGCGGGGTCCGGGGAAGGGTCGGACAACAAGGGTCTATTGTTCGCAGCCTTACTTGCATTTTTGCAAGAGGCTGTTTTCACGGCTTGACCTCCTGATCACATGGCATTAACTTTACCAGTATCAGTTCATTTTAACATGTTAATCTCACTTTTTTATCGATGCTTATGAGTACATTAAGGCACACATAACTTTGTGACATTCGTGGTTAAACACATTGTTAGAGATCCAAAACAACCTTGTGTTCATCTTTTTAAGTGCCTAATTACAAAATTCTTCACAACTATACTGAATTCCTATCCCACTAATTATCTTTTACCCATCGAACCCTTTCTTTAAACCGTCAACAACATCTCAGGCCAACAGTATACAACATAAAAATAGACAATTAAAAGGAATTATTGGGAAAAAAACAGGAACAAGAGAAACAAAAATACAAGAGATTTTTTGAAAACTTAACAAAAATCATATCAGTTTAATTTCGAATATAAATACAACCAAAAAAAAAAAATTAACAGGAAAAACGAAAGCATGTAACCCGATCATGTTAGAACAAAACCAAGCTTGCTTTTCACTTCATTTTTTACTTAATCTAGAAAAAAAAAATTGAATTTTGACATAAAATTTAGAATGATAAAAAAAATAAATACCTTATTCTCCATGATTTAATTTAATTTAATATAGACTGTAATTTCTTCTGTAAATTCCTGAGGTATTCCGCGCCTAGTTACAGGAAAATGTCACAAACGGTTTCCTCTTCGTTTGTTTTTTAACCGCTTCCCGGTATTTGTTTGTTTGTAAGATTTGTATTTTTTTTTTCTTTTTACCTTTCCTTTTTTTGGGTTTTATTTTCTTTTTCCTTAGGACGAGGGACGGAGCCACATCCAACCAAGGGGTGAAATTAAAAAATAGCCAAATTTACAAATGATAATTGAAAAATAGTCACAATTTCAAAAGTAATCGAAATTTAGCCGCTTTTCATGTAAAAATAAATCTGAACTAAAACACTATTTAAAATCCGAAAAATATTCCAGCATAATATATTGGAGTTTGAATTTTTTACATGTGAACTTACAACATAATATATTGGAGTTTCAGCATAATATACTGGAGTTCCAGTATAATATGCTAGAAGTTCATACACAGATGCTCCAATCTCCAGTATATTATGCTGGAACTTTTCGTGTGCTGGAGTTCCAACATAATATGCTGGAAGTTCATACATAGGTGCACTAATCTCTAGTATATTATGCTGGAACTTTCCGTGTTGCAGCAAAATAGTGGCTATTTTTCAATGACTTTGCAAACGCTGGCTATTTTTCAATTACTAGTCCGAAAATTGGCTAGCCCATGCTATTTTCACCCAACCAAGGGGTGTCAATTTAAAAAATTATATTATTTTGTTGGATAATTTTTTATATTTTAGGTATATTTACTATAGATTGACTTTTCGATATATTTAATTTTTTATATTTGATACCCCTTAGTGAAAATCCTAATTTTATCACTACTTTGAACCATTTTATACTTGTTAAGTTTTTCAATCGCGTTTGTTTATTGTCATGGATTTTGTTTTTGAGGTATTGTGTTTTTCATTTTCATGGATGTGAAATTTGCCTTTTGAACTAAGAGTAAGCCCCCTCCCCTTTTATGGTTTTCAATCGCGTTTGTTTATTGTTAATTTGTTCGACATATATGCCTTAACTCGGGCCCAAAAAAAATGAGAAATATTAAAGTGACGTTCAAGCTTGTGGTCGAAATGTCGTCTCCACGCAAACCCTCAGCCATCGAGTCGACCTCGTTCACTCAGAAAGACACAACTATTGATTTGATTAATTTTAAAAGTCTATCAATTCGGAGTGAATAAAAAATCCATACATAATTATATTAAATCTCTATACATAATAAATATATCAAAAAAGAGTTTAACTCGTCTATACTAATAACATAAAAGCAGTTATACATTATCAGCGGAGGCGGACCTAAGATTTTTATGCGATGGAGGCACAATATTCTGCTCAACCAGTGTCCCTAAAGGCTTTTAATGTTTAGTGTGATGACCCGCCACATCATCATGCCGCACAGGCGTCATTTGGCATATATTAATGCCATGTGAAAGCTTACATAAGAAGAAGGTTAACATTTGTGAGAAGATTCTAGAGAGGTATGGACATTTCCTAAGGAAGAACCTAGATCCTTATGGATTTGCTAAGAAAGTCCTTGGAATCTTCTAGGCTTGTAGAGAATTCTAGAGAAAGCCCTTATCTTGTAAATATCAAGGACTTGTATAATAATTAATATTTACACAGTAGCCCCTAGGAGACTAGTATATAAAGGGGGCCACTCATTTGTAATTCATCAAGCAAACAATTCAAGTTCTCTCTAATACAAAGCTTTCTTTAACAATTCTCTTGTGTTCTTTCTTTCATTCTCTTAGCGATCTTGAGTGTAGTAAGGCTGACTTGACATAGCAAGAACCTGAACAAGTTGTGCAAGATCATGAGCGAATTGTTAAGTGCCGCACGTATACTTAGTTAACAACTAAGGACATGACATAGGATGACAAATAATTTAAATTAACCATTTTCAAGGTATATATACATATATATATATATATATATA